CCCCAATTACCGGAGGTGGACACTCTTGGTGCACCCCTTTGTGGGCTTTGTGCACAGTCTTGTTGGAGTTAAGCCTTGATTATTGTAGGTATTACTGGGAGGAATTGACCTCCAGGCCAATTGGCTGTGAGAATCAACTGTATCTGCAGTGGGAGAACTTCTGTGCTGGAGACACCCTTCTGGGGCAAGACTTGCTTCAGTGGGGCCTTGGTGCTCACTGAGTCTGCCCCCTGAGTGTGTCCCTTATGGATCTGAGGAGTTGTAATCTGGATGGTCTCACTCTGACCACTGGGTACACTGGCTCTTGGATCTCTAAGGAGGTGCTAATTTAGCCTCTGCCTGAGGCTACCCAGCAGGAGCCCAGCTGTGAAGCAATGCAAGCTGCTGTGGGGCCTTGGGCCTTCTTTTGGATGTTCTGGCTTTCTCTGACCCAGCTGCAGTTTGTTACGTAATTTTCAGATTGCAAAGGGCCAGTCCTTTCATATGCAAAAGGATCTGCGCACAGTTTGGGTGGGGTGGGGTCTCAAGGGATCAACACGGCAGAGCAAGCAGCTATGGCTGCCCCTTAGTCCTGCCCTAAGAGGCCCCGCTTCTCAGTGTCTTGGTATCGCTGCAAGCACCTCTGAGAGAAAGCTGCCCTCGAGTTCCGACCAATGCCAGACAGTCCAGTTTCTCCCTGTATGAGTCTGGGTCCCCAGAGACTCACCTGGAACTGGAGTTCAGAGCAGTTGCGAGCTTGAGCCTCCCTCCCGATTGAAAAAGACAACCGTGTCCTCAGTTTCCAGCCCTTTCCACATGTGCCACATCCTCAGCTGCCAGCCCTTTCCACATGTGCCACATCCTCAGCTGCCAGCCCTTTCCACGTGCGATGCATCCTCAGCTGCCAGCCCTTTCCACGTGCGCCTCCTTATCTCTGCACTTTACTTCCGCACCTCCTCTGAGTCTCAGTGTGCTTTTCTCTTTCCTTCTAGTTGTAGAATTTCCACTCAGCAAGCCTTCCTGTAGTTCTGGATGATGTTTGTTTTGTCTTTTAGTTGTATTTTTGAAGTGGTTGTTCGAGGCAGCAATTTCCGGTGTTAACCTATGCCTCCATCTTGGTTTCTCTCCCTTTTTGTTTTTTTAAATCTTTAATAATATCTTAATGGATATATAATATAAAAATATGACAAGTATGACATCAAAAAGATAAAATGTGGGAAGGTGGAATAAAAGGGAAGAATGTCTGTATATGATTGAAGTTAAATTATCACTTTAAAAGAAACTGTTATATCTATAAGATGTTTCAAGTAACCACAAAATAAAAACCTATATAAAATACAAGAGAAAGAAATCAAAGAATACCATGAAAAGTCATCATTTCATAAAGAAGAAGAGCAAGAGTGGAAGACCAATGGAACTACAGAACAGCCAAAAAATAATTAATGAGATAGTAATAGTCCTTACTTAATAATAGTTATTTTAAATGTAAATGGATAAAATTCTCCAACCAAATAGAGTGGATGAATGAATTTTTAAAAAAGAAGAATCAACTTTATGCTTCCTACAACATACTCACTTCAACTTCAAGGACACACACAGGCTCAAAGTGAAGGAATGAAAAAATATTTCATACAGATAGAAAACAAAAGAGAGCAGGGGTAGCTATATTTATATCAACCAAAATAGACTTTCAGTCAAGACTTGTAACAAGAGACAGAGAAGGTGATTATATAATGATAAAGGGGTCAATTCATCAAGAGGATATAACAATCATAAATATATATGCACCTAATATTAGAGCACAAAAATGTATTGAGCAAACACTAAGAGATGTGAAAGAAATAATAGAAAGCAATACATAGTAGTATCCATTTCAACAATGGATAGATCATCCAGACAGAAAATCAATAAGGAAACAAAATACTTGAACAACACTATAGAAAAAATGAACCTAAAAGACATATACAGAGCATTTCATCAAACAGTAGCAGAATATACATTCCTCTCAAGCACACACAAGCATTCTCCAGGAAAAATGTATGTTAAGTCACAAAACAAGTGTCAGCAAATTTTAAAAGATTGAAATTATACCAAGTATCTTTTCCAAACACACTGGTTTGAAAATCAATAATGGAGAAAACAAAAATACCAAATATATGGAAATTAAACAACATATGCATGAATGAACAATCGATCAAAGATGAAATCAAAAGAAAAATCAAAACATATTAAAACAAATATAAATGAAAACAAAACATATCCAAATTTATAAGATGCAGCGAAAGCAGTGCTGAGGGAAGTTTATGGTGGTAAATACCTATATTTAGAAAAAAAAAGAATCTCAAATTTACAACCTAACTTTATACCTCAAGAAACTAGAAAAATAAGAACAAACTAAGTTCAAAGTTAGCAGAAGGAAGGATTTAGCAAAGATCAGAGAAGAAATGAATAAAATGGAACAGAAAAACAACAGAAAAGATCAGAAACTAGTTGATTTTTTAAAAGATAAACAAAATGGATAAATCTTTAAACTTACCAAGAAAGAAAGAGAATTCAAATAAATATAATTATAAATGAAAGAGATATTACAAGTGATACCACAGAAAAACAGAAGATAATAAGAGACTTCTATGAAAAATTATATGCCAATGTATTGGACAACCTGGAAGAAATGGATAAATTCCTAGAAATATACTACCTACCAAGTCTGGATCATGAAGAAATAGAAAATATGAACAGACCAATAACAAGGAGATTGAATAAATAATGAAAAAGCTCACAGAAATGAAAAAAATCCTAAAATTCATATGGGACAACAAAAGACACTAAATAGCCATAGCAATCTTGAGAAAGAACAAAGCTGGAGGCACCACACTTTCTGATTTCAAACTATATTATAAACCTATAGTTTGGTACTGGCATAAAAACATCATCTAGACCAATGGAACAGAATTGAGAGCCTAGAAATAAATTCATGCATATATGATCAACTAATATTTTACAAAAGCCAAGAATACTTAATGGGAAAGGGTAGTCTCTTCAATAAGTGGTATTAGTAAAACTGGATATTTACATACAAAGAATGAAATAGGACTCCAATTTTACCTCACTCACAAAAATTAACTCAAAATGGATTAAAGACTTAAATATAAGACCTGAAACCATAAAATTCCTAGAAGAAACCATCGGGAAAAGCTCCTTGATACCAGTCTTGGTAATAATGATTTTTTGATATGACATCAAAAGCACAGGCAACAAGCGAAATCAACAAGTGAGACTACACCAAAACTACAGCTGCACTGCAAAATAATCAACAAAATGAAAGGGAAAACTGATGGAATGGGAGAAAATCTTCTCAAACCACATATCTGATAAGGGGTTAATATAAAAAATATATAAGGAACTCATAATAGCAAAGAACAACAAACAATGCAATTAAAAAATGGACAGAGGATTTAAATAGACATTTTTCCAAAGAAGACACACAAATGGGTAACAAGTATATAAGAAGGTACTCAACATCACTAATCAAATGCAAATTAAAGCCATAATGAGATATAATCTTGCACCTGTTAGAATGGCTGTTATAAAAAAGATGAGAGCTAACAAATGCTGGGGAGCATGTGAGGAACAGTGAACTGTGATGCACTGTTGGTGGAACTATAAATTAGTACAGGGAATATGGAAAATAGTATGGTGATTCCTCAAAAAAAATTTAAAAACAGAGTTAACATATGATCCAGCAATTCCACTTCTGGGTCTATACTTGAAGGAAATAAAATCAGTACCTTGAAGAGATACTTGTACTTCATGTTCATTGCAGCATTATTCACAATAAATAAGACATGGAGACCATCTAGGTGTCCATCAACAGATGCCTGGATAAAGAAAATTTGAGATTATATATATGCATAATAATTAAGTATTATTCATAAAAGAAGGAATGCCTGCCATTTACAACAACATGGATGACCTCGAAGGTATTATGCTAAGTAAAATAAGTCACACAGAGAAATATAAATACTGTCTAATATCACATGTAGAATCTAAAAACATTAAAAACATCAAACAGAGAGTAGAATGGTGTTTGCCAGGGGCTGAGGTGCAGGGAGGAATGGAGAGGTGTTGGTCAAAGGGCACAAACTTTGTTATAAGGTAAATGAGTTCCAGCAATCTAATATATGGCATGGTGACTATACTTAACAGTATCATATTGTATATTTGAAAATTGCTGTGAGAGTAGATAATAATCCTATATAATAAAAGGCTAATATGCAAATTGTCCCCTGGACCAGGAGTTTGACTGGGACTTCAATCAGGGGGTGGGGCCATCTGGCCAACTGCCCTCCCTGATTGGGGCGGAGCTGGCCAGTCAACCTCCAGAGTCCTCCTTCCCACCCACCCCCTCCCCCAGCCCGGCTTGATCAGCCCTTATTGGGGTGGGTGGGTCGGACCCCACCCATGCACAAATTTGTGCACTGGGCCTCTAGTCTCACTATAACAAGAAAATGGTAATTATGTGAGTAAATTGTGTTAACTAACCTTATTGTGTTAACTACATTTTACAATATATACATATTAAATAATCATATTATACACTTTTATACAATGTTATATGTCAATTATATCTCAATAAAGCTGAAAAAAAAAGACATGAAGGATTCTGGGGAATATTAACCCTCTTTTATTACTTCAAATTAGAGTATCACATATTGAATTTAAGGCTTTTCTCTAACTCTTATTCCTCTCTTTATTTCAAAGTTGGAGCCTGATTGTAAAAGTTGGTATCCTCTACCCATGGTGAGGCCACAGATGAAGTAGGTCATTAAGAATATCCCCTCCTGTAATATGCTACAACTCTATCTGAAGAATAACCCCAATCATAGATTCTTACAGGTATTTAGAAGAGAATTTAAAACTAAAGGGAAAACAGTAATTTTGTTCTGCCACAAACAAATCAATCTGTGATTTGTGTGCTGAGACTTCCCTGGAGAGACTTAGGCAATTAAGAATAAGAAGCCCTTAATTAAGATGAGGAAGACTCGGCAATGGTAGATGGAGATGCTGATGAGTTCCAGAAGGGCTCTCTGCATTGGAGGAGTTGGGTAGGCAGTGCAATGGAGCATCTAAACTGGTGTGGAACATTTCATTACCGAGCACTTTAATCATGCTCAGAGCTTCCCTGGAGTGGCTGCTCATGTACCCTGATCTCCGGGGTCTGCCTCTTCTGGTGCAGTTTTGGGTGCATTTAGTGGGTGAATGGCTCTGCTTTCCCCCAGCGCAACTAAAGAGGGCATGTCCAAGACAACACCTTCCAGAGCTTGCCCTGGACTCTGTCAGCTGTGTGGCTTTTATAACCATCATCAGCATGCCAGGCATCCCTCTAGTGTCCAAGTTTTCCCCTGCAGCCCAGTGATTTACATAGCATCCTTTCTGTATGCAACAGCCTCCTCTGTTCTCTGTACCTAAACCCTTCCTTTTCTTTAATAGGGAGCTTGAATGTCACCTCTTCCAGGTGAGTATTTCCATGTTAGCCTCAAATTGTGTTGTTGTTGTTTTTTTTAAATTCTATTGTGAATTTTTAGATTGTATGATATTGTAAGTTCCCTGGGTACTGACCACAATACTGACAAGGGACCTTCAATTAGAATGGAGTGACGGTGAGGCATTTGTGAGATACTTGGGGCTTTGGAATTTAGAAAAGAAAATGTCTAAGAAAACACAGGAAAGTAGGATTTAGCATCTAGATTTTTGGATAGGAAAGACTCCTCATAAAGGACCACATTTAGGAAACATAAAGTACTGTTAATCATAAATGGAAATCTAAAAGTAAGGTTGGATGGGTATGTGGGAAACAGTGTAAGAGGATAAGAACTAAGATTTCAGCGAAGTGACACAGGAAATAGAGGTAATGATCTGGATGTTTCTGGAAAACTACAACAAAACGCCGAATAATTCTGGAAGACAAACAAAATTTCAGTTCCTGGGAAATATTAACAAATTTTATCCTGTTGTAAGATATTCTCTCTTCCAACTTCCCAAAATCATCTAGAAAATTACTGACTTTTCTAACTTTATTTCCGCTGCTACTGTGCTTTTATTTATTACTCTGTAGGCATCTTACTTATTTTCTTGCCTACGGGGAATACTTTTACTTAAATATTAACATTAGTCATTTGAGCATAATATTTCATAAACATTTTTATCCCCCTGTTTTTCTAAGACCATCCATAACTTGCATTCTGTTTCCTGCCCTGACATTTTTCATGCTGTTTACAATAATTTTCAGTAGGAAAGAAAAAGCTGAAATGCATACAGTGATGCTACCACTAAATGGAATTTTCAAAGACATTTGTTTCTTGGATCTGTTGCTACAATTTTAAAATAGGAATGTTATGCTCAGGAAATAAGCCGTGTGGGAGCAGGGCATATTTCACCATTGTGGGTATGTTCAAATTTCCCCAAATATTTTTGTTTTCTTTCCCCTTTTTTTTTTTTTTTTTTTTTTTTAGTTTGACAAGAAAATATTTGTGCATTCAAATTCTCTTCCCATTTATTGAGATTGTTTTTCCTCGTTGCTCCTTGATGTCGGCTCACCTAAATATACAATTGCAGCTTGTTTTCTGGTGGGATTCCTGAGAGATGGCAACATCAGACAGATTTATTTAGCTGTGTGATGAACAGAACTGCAGAAAGCAAGCTAAGGCTGTTAGCAGAAGCCAGGAGGAAATCTTTAAAAGCACGATGAGCTATGTCACACACACTAAAGACACAAAGAAATTGCATTTGAGAAATACTTCCCTCCACGGAGATATTGATGGCAGGTTGTGGATTGTTGAGGAGCCACCGCGCTTACGGCTTACCGAGGATCAATGCAGCAGGGTGCAGGTGCAGGAGCTGAGCTCGCAGGAGCTGCCTGCTTCCTGCGGCTGACAGGGCAGGACAGCGCCCCCAGCCTCAAGCTGTTCCTGCAGCTTGGAAACTGCAAATCTAGCCTTGCATAAGAAAAAAGAATTTTAAAAGCTGAGGGGAGGCAGCGCCTTTAGTACATGGATATTTGGTCATCAGTTGGAAAGACAAGCTCAGTTGCTATTAAAAAAAAAAAAAAGATGGCTGCAGGGTAAACTCTTCCCATTGACAGCTGTTCACATTGATTTGCTTATAGATTGATTGCCTTTGGCATTTGCAATTCTCCTGAACAAGGTGGGGGTGGGGGTGGGGTGGGGAATCCAGTGGCTGGGCCAAATTCACAAATGATGAATGATTGGGAAGACACATTTGGTGTCACATTGACTTGCTATGGATAACTGCACTTAAAGTAGTAACAGCTGGATTTGGGTTTTTAAAATTAGGGCTGTATATTTCATTGCGGGGGGGATTGGGACATGGGGAGTTTGAGGTAGATGAAAAGCTTATTTGAAGTGAATGAGGTTTATGCTGTATTTGGGTATCGCAGCCGCCAGGCGGACATGACACACTGCTCTGGCCTCTTTTGGGATGATTTTTACTCAGTTGGACATCAGCATTATGCCTTAGCTTGCAAGGAGGGCACTGGAATAAGGGGCTGCACAGAGACTCTTTTGTGTTTACTATGGGGATTTTGTAAAGTATGTTGCCCAATAAATCTCACACCGCCTTCTTCATGAAGATATCCAGGGGAAATTCCTCAGAGACCTTAGAGACAGGAAAAGCTATGTTCTCCTAGGAAATGGTGATGTTTCTCCTTTATGCACACTGAATTGGGTGACTGCCAGAATTTCCTCTGCTCTGGTGCCTAAGAAGCAGAAGTTGGGTTTAGGGTTAGGATATGAACTTCTATATCCCTTGGTTTCATTCAGCTATCTTACCCTTGTTTTCCTTTTAGTTTTTATCTCCTTTTCTCATATATTCTTTTTTGCAATGTAGCAGAGCATAAGTGGAGAGTAAATACAAGTATTAATTTTAAGTGATAGATTGTCATTTAAAAGTTTGCCCAAGTGGCATTGTAGTTATGAAAGAAACTATCCGTAATTTTAAAGAGATGCATACTGAAGTATATGTAGGAGTAAAATGACATGGGCTGTGATTTGCTTTAAAATACTTCAGCAATAATAAAAGGGATCAATAAGACAGGGATGGAAACTTTTTGAAATGTTGAATCTAGGTCGTTTTTTACTGTTCTCTCAATTTCTGTGTTTGTTTAAAAACTTGAAATTAGAAAATGTTTTTTATTTGGATCAAATTCCTGATGTAATGGGAAGCCAAGCTATTTGTTAACTTGACAGTTATGTTTCCATCAGAAAAATCTTTATTAGTGGTTTATATATTTTTCTGATCTTGGTTTTGTTGTTTTAGGGGGATTTTTTTTTTTTTGCTTTGTTTTGTTTTTCTCTGCCTACTCAGTTGAAGTTTCAAGTCATAAACTTCAAGAAAGAATGAAGGCAGCAAATCTGAAATTCAAGGCTACCTAAGGCTACCAGACTGAATGTAGAAACTCTCACATGTGCTTAGAAACATTCTCTGCTTTCCTCCTTGATTACAGAATAGGTACTTCTGAGCCTCCATTTCTCTTCTCCACCCAACACAGACCTGAAAATTCAAAGTCTAAAGAAGCAGAAAGGGCGAGCTTATGACAAAAATGCTGCCCTAATGCATCTATGTGCTCTAAACCGTGCTCTTCCGATGTCACTGATGCTACGAAGTTTGGATACTTTCTCTGTCCCTGTGTGGTTCCACCCCTGGGTGTCCTCGGTGCTCCTGAGCTGTGAGGCCGGAGCTGTGCAGCCAAGACATGTGCTTTGTCACCTGTCAGGTGGGAGGTGATGAATGGAGTCGCTAACATTTTCAGCGACTCCTGCATACCCATGTTTCCCAATTTTATTCCCTTTCTTTGTGTTTGAGGGAGATATAATAACTACATAGAATGCCCATGGTATTGCTCCCCAAGGATATTTCCTAGCTTACATTTAAAATCCCTGCATCATAGACCATGTTTCTCAAAATGGTATAAATGTACATGTCGCGATAAACCAGGAGACACTTGGTAAAGGATTTGAAGTCCAGGTCAGTTTTACTCAATGCTGAGTGATTTAAATCACCACTTTCTGTATTAAAGGAAATAAATATACTATGGAGTAAAATGCAAAAAGTCACATGAGTTTTTAAAATAAAGTGTGACACTTGAAAAAGACATTCTGCTTTTAAAGCTATTGTCGGCTCAAAACGATGGGGCGAGAGTTCACTGTCGCCTGCCATTAGGAGGGCTTTAGTGGAAGTTAGAGGCCCTGAGTTAGCAAAGGCACAGATGTGACAGCAAAGCCCACACAACACTGAGAGCTGCATTGTCATATTATCTCATAATAGGCCCTGTAGTCCTCTGTGGAATGAGTGAGGCCAGATATGATGATGACAATACAAAAAAGGGAATAGTTATTCAGTTGTTACAATGGGCCGGGCAAAGCATTGTTGTAATATTTTCTTTCAAATTGGAAACAACTTACTTAAAAATCATTGGCAGTTTTCTGTCTCTAATGATGAAAATGTCAGCTCACCTTTAGAGCTAGCTTCCATTTGGGAAGGAATAAATTCCAAAATAGCCTCATGTGGATATAAATGTAAAAGGAAAAGCCACCCAGGTGCAGACAGGAGGAGATAACTGGGTGTTTGCGGGGGTCTGGCTCCAGGCACTGGCCCTGTGGGTAGATGGGGTCTCACAGCCCTCCCCAGGCCTATCAGTGTCCAACTTGGGTTCCTCCACTTTCAGGTTCAGAGTTGTCAAATGGCCTGATGGGCTCCAAAGCCCTGGTGGAGGCCAGGTGGCCAGCGAGGGTAATTACTGTTTGCCAGAAGGGAGCAGAGTACACTGGGACCCTGGTTCAATGCCAAGGCCTTATCAGCTGAGCAGAACACCTAATTCTGGGCACAGTGGATGGCCTCCACAAGCACCCCTTTTGGACCAGTACCCCCGGCATTGGGGGTGTGTCCTGGGTGGAAATGACTGAGGGTGTATTAGAAAAGCTAGTTCCTAAAGGATTTAGGCCAGGCCAGATCTGTTGTGGGATACCCGTGGCGGAGTCTGTGCAGGAAGAGGTATCCCTCATTGCTCCCCAAAGAGCTCTGCACAGAACAAGAGCAGAAATAGTGAATGCAGTGGACTACTCTGTCCACCTGATTTCTGTCAGGGAGCGAGGGAGTGGGGGCAAGCACGGTGGTGGTGGTGATGGGTGGTGTGCATGAGGGAAGGTAGTCATAGATGGACACAGATTTTGATGACTCCTGACTTGGAGCAATGAGAAGGTCCATTCATTATAATTCTCTAAATAATACTATGTTCTGACCTCACTGTATTACAAATACTTCTGTGTACATGAACTCAGAGGGCCCATTAAGCACTAGTCATTATTGGCAATCTCCACTGCTCCCTTTCATCCAGAAAACAACAGGTCATCTCTTCTCACGAAATGTTTGAAACTGGTCTACTGTGTTTTTGAGGGGCTTTAAGATATAAATTTTATATTAAAATAGTCCAAGAGGATA